GGTCCCGGTCCCACGAAACTACCAAAAACCTTAACCGGTCCCGGTTTTMGGTCCCATAACCGGTCCTTACCGGTCCCGGTCCCGGGCCGGTCCTTTGTCGGTCCCGGTCCCGGTCCTCCGGCGGTCCCGGGCCGGGCCGGGCCCATTTGGCCATCTCTAATCTAAACCGTCATTTTTCTAAGTTTATTTATAATCTCTTGACGAATATGAATATTTAAAGTTATCACCTTAACTGATCAAATCTATTCATTCAAACCAAACGGGACCTTAGAGTCTCGTTTACCAAATGTTTACCGGGTAAGTACTTTTCAGCAAGAGAAATTATCCTCACTTAACTTATTATATAACATTGTCGTCCATCAAGATGGATTGTTGTGTAAGAGTCTTTTCTCTCATTTATCATATGGGTAAGATTCTTGATACTTGTCATGTTCAATCAGCAAATACTTACTGGACAAATGTTTAATCTCCCAATTGATCCACTTACCACTCCTTTTTTGGGGAGAAATCTAAGAAAAATAGGCAAGTAATCGGGTTAACTCTTCTAAAACATCTTTAAAAAAATTGAATTTTCTCTCTATCGTTCCGTTTGTTTGAGATTTCCTACAAATTTCTGAATCAACTCTGTAAAATTTGATTGTCATTGCTATTGGCACTTGATTTCAACTGTATCAATATATGAGGTTTTACGACTTTGAGACTGACTACTAAAAGAGTGGTCGTATAAAACCTTGAAAAACATAATGTAATCCATGCAGTTTTGCTTCATATCATCAACGATTACCAGGTTGGTTTAGATCCCAGTTATGGAAAATACTATTATAAATGTCAATATCAGATTTTTTTTCAATAAAAAAATTTACTCAACACATTGTCCTACGGTTTCATATAAAAACATTCACCGGTTTATATAAAGAACAGGAAAACGTGCAAAATTACATGTGATTCTACGCTAACAATCAACGTAAAGGTGTGTAAGTGACGTGGCCCACAACTTGACCACGGTTGCATGAATCACATGTGATTTAACAGGTTTCTTATTCATAAACCCTTGAGTATATGATTTAAAAGTATGCATCCAAAAACAAAGAATTGGAATAAGCCACAATTACTTTTGCAACCACCTTATTCATTTGTAATTCAGTTGTGATGTACAGAGTTGATTTCTATGTATTTTTGTAGATGAAGCATTAAGCATATATGTATATCATGCCGCTTTTGACTCCAAATCTTGCAATCCACAAACCATATTCGCTGGCACTGCTACATCGATCATCTTTGGATACGACAGCTTCAAATCTGGGTAACAATTAAACTTGGTCACATACATTTATACAGGTTTTAATTTAATAAAAATATATATATAAGTCTCATGTGAATCCAAACCTCCATATATATAGGTTTGGTTTACGTGAAACCAGTCTATTTTTGTGAGACCACAAAATAACATTGAACCTTTACAGCAAAACATTGTGAAGGTAAAAAAAATACTAACCCTTCACAACAAAAACATTGTAGTGCTTTGCTGTGAAGATTTGGTACTATTTTTGTAGTCTCATGAATACAAGTTGGTCTCACATGATCCCAAGTCCATATATATATATATATATATATATATATATATATGTATGTATATGTATGTATGTATGAATACTAATCATATACTTACTTTCCATGATGCTTTTGAATGTTTCCTGAAAAACAAAATATTCTCACATAAATAAGCACAAAACCACAAACAAAATCTCCAGAAATAAATAGCTAATTATTTACATATTAACTTACATTTTAATACAATGGATTTTGATTTTTCATCAACCGATTAAATCAAGAAATAGGATATAGACGTATGTTCAACAACAAATTTACGCACTACGATTTCAGGCATCATCATGTTTGAGGGTCTACCAATTTTGGGGGCCTAATGTTGATACAAGTGTGATATAGCCTCCAAAAAGATTGGAATGGTCCTACTTATGGGTCTCGTCTCCATTCTCGTGAATGACAAGACAAATGAAAATTCCAAATATTAGATGGCGTAAAAACGAATAGTAGCATAGTACCTCATCTTTCGTGAGTCGTGGGTTATAGAGCACCTCCTCTCCCACGGTGCTAACCTGACAATCAAGGTGGGTTCTTTGAGCATCCATTTTCTGTATATATATATATATATATATATCGAAAAACAAGATAGAATGATGGCTACTAACCGTGAACCCTTTGTAATCATGAGCAGGATAAATGAATGTGTCCTTTGGCAATGTGAAGATCTGAACAGATGACAACAAAAGTACTGAGTTTTCACTGAAGGAAAAATCAAGAACAAGATGCATACCTGTTCTTTCATCTTTCGATTTTCAATTTCCATATTCTTGCCTGTGAATGGACCGATTCATATAGCTGCTCTGAACTTCCACCCTACAATACATCAATGATGGTATTATCTATTTATATTACAATCTAGGGTAGAGGCAAGGTCTGCATACATCCTAATATACCTGAAAATCCGTTCTCCCACATCCACGTATTAATAGAGCATCACCAGTAAACGCCATTCTTGGTTGAGGCTGATCAGGATCATCTCCGGTGACATAGGTGACACAACCTAACGTATGCCCTGGAGTTGCACGAACCTGAAGTAAAACATGATGGGAAATGGTGATAGTTTAGATAAAGATTCAACAATCAATCCTTTTTTAGAATAATATCTCAAATTGGAATTGACGACAATTAGATGATAAAAATATGTTTTCGTACCTCCAAATAAAGATCACCAAATTGAATTTTATCACCAGCTTCAACATGAAGATCGGCTGATGCTTTGCTTGCTTTCGAAATGATAGACTTGACACCAGGAACTTTAGTCTGCAGAAAATGATTTATCTCAAACGCCACAAATAACTTAGACACCTAGTTTTTATCTCAACGTGACTAGTTTATCAGCCAAAAGCTAGTTTGCCAGACAGCCCAAATGACGATTTAGCATACCAATTCTTGATGAGAAAGTGTTGTATACCTTGATCATCCCGCTCCCAGTGACATGATCAGCATGAACATGGGTGTTGATAGCATATAGAAGTTTCAGTCCCAGATCTTTTACAAGAGAAAGATCCCTATCCACTGTCTTATCTACAGGGTCAACTAACTGCAACATCAAGTAAAGTCCATCATCTTGAAGCAAGTTGCCAGACAAAATAAAGAATAGATCAAATAAATGGTACTCTAAAGTCTAAACACAATCGATAGCACAATTCACACAGCCATGTCTAGAAGCAGTCTTCTGCACACAAAAACACAAATTATGATGTAATATTGTTTCTTCTATAGAATGATTCATTCCCAAATATGAACCTCTGGCGTTATAGAATCCCTCATATCCAAGATATACAAATTCATCCGCAGCTAGGTGGATCTATTGATCTCAACTGGTACTATCATATTATGAAAGCCTCAAGAAACATTCTCCAGCAATGGAAATCAAATTCAAACACCATGGTGTGAATCTTTTAATCAAAGATTGCCATGTCCATGAAAAATGCATAATTTTTCACCTCACCATTCATATAACATTTTATATTGCTGGAACTTAACATATGGACACAAAATATGATGTAAACAAGTGCCACAGTGTTGGTGATTTTAGTGTTATCAATCATTAGTGTGATTGTGATTTATCGTAAGATCGACCTGGTGATAAGTCAAACATAAGTGAGTTAGGAGGTGCAGAGAGTACAAATGTTGCCTTTATCACCTTAGATCCTGGGGGCTGCGCCCCCTTGCAGGGTCCAAGAGGCAGCAAAACATCTACAGATTTTAAGAAGATGTTTACTTAGAAATTTCACGTTTTGAGATGTTTTGTACGAATTTCAGAAGGTTGGAATTACTTCTTGAAAAGATACTAAAACTTGTTGAAAATTGCCTAAGGGGTATGGACTCAGAACTTTGAGCCTTTGCTCGAATTCTTCTGTGTCAAAAGTGAAGAGCCTTTGGACTTGTTCTGAAATTGCTTCCGACTCAGAACCAGTTGCAACTTTTTTTCTAATTTTATTCGTTAACGGTTATAACTATTGTATAGTTATATCTTAACTGTTTAACCGTTCGTAGCAGTCGATCTCTCTTATAAATATGTGAACAAGAATCTGGGTGTATGACTCAATCTTACATCCTTTGAGATAACAGAGTTTTTATTTGGATTATCCTGATACAAAATTCCTGGTACGCAAGGCTAATAAAGGACGAATTATTGTATTCGTAATTTCCGCTACTCCCATCCCCAAATCTCTAACACAGAGCAAATCCAACCAATCCTACTCATTGATGACTATTGGATACTCTCTTCGTCCCAAAATTTGACAATTCGAACCAGGAAACACAATTTAGAAACATCAAATTGCAGTGGACTCAGGATAACTGGGGACTCCAACTCAATAGTTTGTAACACCAACTGGAGCAACATCAATTAGGGAGCTTCAATTCTAAACCCAAAACCCCAAATTCTATATCCCTAGGGAGTGAAGTTTTGATCGCAAAATAGTACGAACAACAACAAATATAAGCTAAAATTACAATCCACAAATCAACACAATTGAGTAGCATCTTAAAATCGATAAGGATAAATACGAACCAAAGCAGGCTTATCTGGATGAGAAGCATCGGCTAGAAGGTAGGTGTAAGTAGATGATTCCTTCTCGAACAACTGACGAAACAACAACTTCTTTGATGGCGTCGATGATTGTGTTGAATACGATACCGCTTCCATCTTTGATCTAAATGATGATGAAGATATGATCGGAGAAGGAAGAAAACGACGATTTAAATGAAGAGAAGAACAGCTAGTCCACCATAAACATCGTAATCGTAGCATATCTTTAAAATATTTATAATCGTGTGATCGATTACATCAACATTCTAACCAACTGTAATTTGATTTTTGGAACGAATTTCTTGCTTTGATTTCTGCAACTGGCGAATAAACAAATGAATGGGAATCTCCAATACCATTGGCCTGCCATGGCGGTTGGCTAATCTGCTAATTGGGATTCTTCCTTTTGTTGCTTCTTATTGGTCCAAGTGTTATGCCGATGTTTCATTTTTTACCCTTCAAGTTTAGTGGATGCTCACTTCTGTCCCTATAAGTTCTGCTATCAACACTTCAGTCCCTGTAACTTTTAGGTCACATTTGTATTTTATATAACACACCACACAATCATAACACTTTCGCATTTTGGTAGCTTAAAATAGTTTTTAGTAGTTAACTTATTAAACGGTAAATTATGGTACCCGTTATTTAAACTATGAAAGTGTTTCATATATTGTTCATATCATGTCAAGAATTGGCATGGTGAATGAAGAGAAATAAAATTGGGTCTCGGGCCGGGCCGGGCCTCGGCCAATCCGGGTTCCGATCCTCAGACAGTCCCGGGTCTGACAGGGTCGGTTTAGCCATATAGAATTGGCATGGTGAATGAATTGAAGAGGGATAAAATTGGGCCTAACTTTTCTATTGTGAGCTTGTTATTTTGAATGATAAGGCCCAATCATTTGATGCCACATGGGCTTACCATTTGAAATATGTTGAAGTTGAATTGCTAATATCAAATTTAAGTCCTCAAGAAGTTCAAACAAAATGTCTTATACACCTTCAAAGCAAATGACAAAGAAAGGAATGCAATGATGTGTTTTCATTTTATTCTATGCAATGACATAGAATGCCGTTTTTATTGACAAAAATCTTACCCGATAAGTAAATGATAGTGTTGAATTTTGCAGGTAAACGCTTACTGGGTAAATGTTTGGTAAACGGCCCCTTAATCGAAAAAGTGTAATTTCAAAATTTACATGAGCATCTCCAACAGATTTTTTAAAATGAAGATTTCGTGGATTTTTTTTTACTGTGTTTAGTTTGTAAAATTTGAAATGGAATTGAATTTCATTTTTTATAATTCTTTTATAAAAATAATTAAAATATCTTTTTATTAAGTTATTATTATCAAACAAAGGTTTTCAACGTATTTAAAACATTATTATACACAAATCCTAATAAATCCTGCGAAATACCAACAAACCCCATAATGTTTGTGGGATTTCAATTGAATCCTGAAATTTCAAATCCAATCAATCCTTCAAACCAAACATGAGATTGAAATGGAACTGAATTCCAAATCCTTCTAAATCATATCTAATCATACAAACCAAACGGGACCTAACGGGTTGTTTGGTTGGTTTCCTTGAATGAATCTTGTATGTGTTGATTAATTTGTTTATATAGATCTGGAAAGTATCTGTTTGAGAAAGTTTTTTATAATATATATGAAATGAGCATGTTTTTTAATTGAGAAAAACACGTTTGGGAAAAAAAAAACTTGACTTTCAGCATAAAGCTTCTGCATTATAAGCTTACTGAATAAGTCACTTGCTAAATTGTTATATTATCACACCATCATAAACAATCATATATAACTGAGCAAATAGGCTATAAATTTCATTAAACTGTTAATAAACAACGTAAACGATTATTTTAAATATTTATTAAAATAAATGATTATTAATTAAAAAAGTAATTATCAATCCAAAACTTGCCGACATGTGAAACCCCACTTAGGTACGCACCATTGACATCTTGATTTATGATATTTGAGGTCCCTTTTGTTTTTTTTTTTATTGTCATGATATTTGACTTAATATGATTAAAATTTATTATTATATCCATTTCAACTATTAAAAGGATATCCGTGTAATGCTGTAAGATACATCTTTATTTTAATGTTTTGTTTTATTTTTCGTCTCTGTTGATATAAGATGATTTATGTGGTTTTGAAAAAGATAATGTTTTTACTTCTAAATAAAAATAAATTTGAAGATATCATAAAAATATGAAAAAATATATCGATATTAATATCAAATTAACTATCTAAAAGTTCTCTTTTTTTGTATAATTTCTTTAATTTAATTTTTTATTATACTTTAGTTTAGGTCAAAATAAAGTAATTTATTTTTGGCTTAACAATAATTTTTTATAAAGATAATGACCATATATCGGTCCCAATATAATATATTATTTATTATTAATCTTTGTTCATGTCGTTTTGTGCAATTCGTGTATTATGCAGGTTCTCAATCGGTAATGCTTCACGATTTTGGTCATATTCTTTATTCCAACCTTCATCATTAATATCTTATTTATATTTTAATGAGATTTTATATTATTAGTGGATAATTTTGTATTGAATATTGATTAGGTATAGAAAAATAACGAAAGTTGTTAATGGTTGAAACTTATATCTCCTACTGCTAAATATGACAATAATATGCTTTCATATATAACAGTTACATAATTTATATATGAAAACACACACACACATACTCTCTCTCTCTCTCTCTCTCTATATATATATATATATATATGTGTGTGTGTGTGTGTAGAGAGAGAGAGAGAAAGAGAGAGAGAGAGAGTAGGGGAGGTTTAGGAGAAAACTCCCAAAAAAATGAAAAACTAAGAAATACCCTGGTAACGGTTCATTTGTACGATATGCATATGCGAATATAAGTAACTTAAGTTGTTTCTTGGTTTCCATAAACATGTGCATACAAGTAATTTATCCGGTATGCACATATACATACTTACTTAATTTTCCATTTTTTTAACGATCTCCCTTAAACCTGACTCTATATATTAGATACACTAATACGGTATTACAAAACCATAATTTCATGTATGTGTTATAAGATTGAGAGCACCCACAATGCTCATTTGGTGTGACATGCTCATGGCCACTTGGACAATGTCATCTAAAAAAAAAAAATCTTGTAGCCACTTAAATATTGCATGGTGCAAATGGAATGGTATTTGGGTGGGATCCATTCTTTATTTATGCAAAGATCCATTCTTTTACCAAAGGGTGTTTGTCTTTCTAGGATATCAAGGGTTTAAATCTCACAAAAAATAAGAAGGGTGTGTAAGTTTATTTGTTGTATTTATCGTATATAAATATTACATACTTCAAAAAAAAGATCGATTCTTTTAGTTTTGTTTGATTTTTACAATAGTTTATTTTATATAAAAATAAAAATAAAATAAGTTAAATAAATAAAATAAGAAATTCAAAAAATATCCACAAAGCAAAAACAATAGTTTATGATATATGACTTTGAAACGTAATCCACCCCTGTGTGGAGTTGATAGAAACAAAAGGTCCATAGTATGACGTTGCCATGTGTCAATTTTGTCAATAAAAATACGTCAAATCAAAGGATATTATTAGGAGTATCTAGTAATTGAAACTTTTACACTATTCACAACTCAATTAGAGAGAATTACATTTTTGGTCCCTGATGTTTGTTGATTTCTTTGAAAGTGGGAACTGTATTTCAATAAGTTAAGTGCTTGAGGTTTGAAAGAAGGACCTGGTTACTAACTTCGTCTGTTTCCATCGTTAGTAGCAAGGGTATTTGTGTTCAAAATTGTTAGTATCAGAGATCGGTCAATGATATTAACCTTATTTTCCTTCTATTTTGTTCATAGATCATTACCCAACATGGGTAACAACAAGAATCAACCATGGAGGTGTGTTTACAAGATTTCTTGGAAGAAGATACATAAATGGTAAGAGTGATTTTGTTGATTTGATTACCACTGATTACCTATTGATTCATCAGTTTAACACTATGATGATAGCATTAGGGTACGATAAGAAATAAGTAATGTGTTACCAAATTGACCTAGATATCAGGTTGAGAGCTTTAGGGAATGACCAGGATATTTTAAATCTGTTAAAGTATGTCTCTATGGTGAAATTGATAGATGTTATAGAACATGGCCAAACAAACCTGCCAACTTACTTGTCATCCCCAAATCCCACTAATGTTCTTATTGAGGAAAAGAATGTTGAAAACATGGATTCGAATCAAAGTTTTGATCATTTGCTTTATAGCTTTGATCCTTTCATTGGGTTGGAATCTAATTTACCAGAAGTGGGAGAGGGGGTTGATTTGAACCAGAGAGTTGAAGTGAACAATGTAGTTGAATTGAACCATGTGGTAGACTTGAACCAGAGAGTTGAAGTGAATAATGTAGTTGAATTGAACCATGTGGTAGACTTGAACCAGGGAGTTGACATGAACCATGGGGTTGAAATGAACCAGAGAGTTCACATGAACCAACATTAGTTCCTAGAAAAAGGCCAACTAAGAACTAACAACAATTGTAGTTTCCAATTTTCTCTTTCTCTAGCTTTGATACATTCTTCAAGTCTGTTCTTTGACCTCAGTAACCCAGGGATAACATTTATGGCCCAAGAACAAATTGGTGGATCGAACCACCTAAGAAAAGAACACTTTTCACCCTGTAAAGGAAAAAATAGGGAGAGGTATTAGGTTATATTAGGATAAATAGATTTGGAAGGAGATGGAAGAAGATGGAGAAACAGAGAGATTACCATTCTTGAACAAGCGTATAACCTACGTCCATGGTTTGCATTTGTCTATGATGTTCTTAAAGTGGCTTGAACACCACAGCAGCATAACACCATTTTCGGACCAAGAAGAAAACATTCACATTTGTTAATAAAAGGGAGATGTGTTAGAAGATTTTGGTTAAAAAGAGAGAGAAAACAATTTCAGACGAAAATACCCCTGCCACTAACAATGGAAATAAATGGAGTCAGTGACCAGGTCCTTCTTTCAAAACAAAATCCAAACCTCAGGGACTACAACTTGACTTGTTGAAGTACATATCCCACTTTCAAAGAAATCAACAAATTTCAAGGACCAAAACTGTAATTCTCCCTTTAAATTATAACATCCCACAAATATAAAAACAAAAGTTAAAATCTCTACAAAAATTCTATAACAATAGTTACTTTTGTTTAAATGTTAATAAATAAGTGTTTGAGTTTTTGTGATAATATAAGTTACGATAAGAAGGGTAAAAACAAGATCTTTATCTTTCAATCAATCATGATGAAAGATAACATTAATATGATATATCAAAATGTATTAAATGACTGTTTGACAGTTGTTAAATGATTTAATGCAGAATGATTAAGTTGTCAGAGTGATTAAGAGACTTTTATATTATAATATAAAATAAAATATAATTTTTTGATAATTATTTAAAATAAAATAGGATGCTGAATAGTTAAGAAAGATCCACGATTTAATATCATTCAGATTGTTTTAAAATAATTAAAAGATAAGTTTTTTTTAATGAATAAAATTTATCTCTTAATAATTCAAATACTATCCTTTAATAGAATTATTAGAAGGAGGTAAACAAACAACTCTTATTATTACAAGTTTCCTCGGTCATAAATAATTATTTGCTGTTTTTAAGAAAACATGAATAATCACGACACGTGTCACAGCCGACATTGCGAGACGGAGAGGAAATCATGATCCGGTGTGGTGGCACCACGTTTGCATGTGATGTAGAACACGTATCAGACCCGTTTAATACGCCGAAAGGGAGCAGCACTAAAATCTACTAACCTTCAACTCAAGTCAACCAAACTCGTTAATCAAATCCAAATTCAAAATCAAATCGGTAGTTTGAATTCCTTCCACGAAAACCCATTTCACAAATTTCACAACCTAGGGTTTTTCTCGGTTCTTCAAAAAGCTTAAACAGATTTCGATGAAGTGGATTTGCTCAAATTTCTCGATTTAAATGGTTGGATTCGAAGACAAGATCCTGTAGGTAGCTGCGTTTCAGAAGAAGAAGAAAGGTCAAAGGTTAGAATCAGAATCTCATCGTTTTCGAGATGGATATCACAGAGGTTTCGATCATTCATCATGTAGGCATTGTGTTCTTGGTGATATGGTTACTCACTTCATTCAATTATTGCAACTCGAATGACCCGATAGTTTACTTCGTTTCTTTGATCTATCTCTATCTGGTAAGAAAGATCTACATTGAATTTGATGTCGATTTGGGGTTAAAATCATGGGGTTTTTCAATTCGCTTTTTGTTTGCGTTAAAGGTTCATGAGAATTTCTCAACGAGATTCAGAAGAAAGGTGCGGTTTGAAGAGAGAAGGCAGGCCAGTCAAAAGAGGGTGAATCTCTTGAACTTAACTACTTTTGCATCACTTCTATTTTGTTCCTTCTAAAGAAAAGATTTAATGATTGAAGTAAATGCTCAGAACTAAGATTAAATTGAAATTGATGATCTTGACAGTGTTTAATGTTAAGAGTCCCATCTTAGGGACTGTTTGGGTGATTTTCCATTAAGTCCGTATGAATTGTCTGTGGATTTATCTGTTTGGATATATTTGGGAAGGTTTTTGTTTGGGAATTGGGAGGTGCAAGTTTTTTCGAACCTGGCTTTTTGCATAACGATCCCCTTTGAAGTTTACCGAACAAGTCATTTTCTATATCATTCAGCCGCTTGTTTTTTCATTGGGAGATGTAGTTTGAAAAAAACTTGGCTTTCTACATAATAGTCCCTTTGAAGCTTATTAAATAAGTCATTTTCTATATATTAAGCCACTACCAAACATTCATGTATAACTAGCTATGAGCCCTATTAAAGCTCATTAAGCTGTTAACAAACAAACCCTTACTTGTTAAGCCCCCTCACCCGTCTAGCACCCCCTCTTGACACAGAGAGAATTTGTGCCCATCTAGCCTCGTTGGAGGGGGCATGTTAGAGTCCCATATGGGATAAAACTTGGACCATTTTACCTGTATATATGTTGAAACCTCCCTCTTTTGGAGAGTGATACGTGGGTTCCACATATTCTGACAGATTAATTTGGTGATTTGCTGTTGGTTTCTATAATATTCTTTCCCTTTTTTGACTTTCATTTTCAATTCTTTTGATTATGCATCATTCGTTTGCTTATCTTTGTCATCAAGTTGAGATGATTGGATTTAGAGCCATGAAAGCTCATATTGATTAACCCCTTTTCATTTTGTGTAGGTACTCTCTGATTCTGAATCAGTTCGGTGGTTGAATCATATGGTTGAAAAAATCTGGCCTATATGTATGGAAAATATTGTCTCACAGAAAGTCCTCCTCCCAATCATACCTTGGTTCTTGGAAAAGTACAAACCGTGGACAGTGGTATGAACCCGATCTTAGTTGTAGCATGTTGCCAAATGCACATCTATTTACATCAAAATCATGAAATGTAAAAAAGATTCCTTGATATTGATGTGTGCAAATGACATCAACAAGTAGGGGTGCATTTAGCATAATATAGGTGTGCATTTAGTCTTCCCCTAGTTCTATCCCTTTTAGGCTATGTTTGACAAAGTAGCTGAAAAACTAGTTGTTGGCTGAAAAACTAACCATTCATCGGAAAACTAGTCATGTTTGGTAAAAAGTAAAACGAAGCTAATGTTTATCAAAAACTAGCTGATAAGTTAGATGACAATGTAATATGACCTAAAAAGACATGTTAAAAAAATTTGTTAGAAAAATATAAGGGGCATAATTGGAAAAAAGCTTCTAGAGTTTATGATGTGTTCTCAAATTCAGGGAGAAAAGAAAAGAAAAGAAAAGAAAAGAAAAGAAGAGAAATGGAAGGAAAAGGAAGGGAGGGAAAAGAAAGGGAAGGAAAATATTTTTTGTGTTCTTGAACAGAAGAGAAAAGAAAGGAAAGATGTCATTTTTACTAATATACCCTTTAAAAATATATCCATTAGACTGAAAGATCGGGTAATTTTGTTGTTTTAATAATTTTTTTAAGGGTTTTAATTTCTTTTCTTTCCTCCCACATTTGGGAGGGAAGTTTTGGGAGGAAACTCATCATTATTTTCCTTCCCTTTTCTTTCTCTCCCAAAAAGTTCCAAGAACACAAGTTTTTTTTTTTTTTTTACTTTTCCTCCCCTTCCCTTCCCTTTCTTTCCTTCGTAAAAAAAGGTTTCGAGAACACAATGTTATTGAATACGAGTAGCGTTTCAAAAAACTAGCTTACAACTAGCCAAATGGGGGATTTTTCAATAAATTTGAAAAATAAGCTAGATTGTGGTTTGCCAAACATGGTTTTAAGCTTGTATAATCGAATCTGTGCTCTTTATAGCTTTTTTTCATAGCATCCTATTATGCACCAACTTTGAAGTTCAACAAAGTTGAATGGTGGATCATACTTGGTATAAATCTTTATATATATATATATATATATATATATATATATATATATATATGAAGCAAGGGCTTGAAATGTTTTTATTTTTTATTTTTATGGTGTTTGATTGAGAAGTGGCTATTTGTTAATCTTTATGTGTAATGAAATATGCAGAAAGAAGCTATGGTTCAAAAACTGTATATGGGAAGATCTCCACCTATGATTACCGAAATGAGGGTTTGTCGACAATCTACTGGTGACGACCATTTGGTAAATTAACATGATTTTTATCATATAGTAAACAGTTCTCCTTTTTGGTGATTTCTTATTCACTTTTGATTCTTCCCGTAAAGGTTTTGGAGCTGGGACTAAATTTTCGAACAGCTGATGACATGAGTGCAATATTAGCTGTGAAACTGACGAAAAGATTGGGTTTTGGAATGTTGGCAAAAATGCATTTGACAGGAATGCATGTTGAAGGAAAGGTCCGTTGTAACGATGATCTCAAAGTTTCCATCTTTAACCATAAACCAAACCAAATAAACAAACCCAGTACATATATATATATATATGTATGTATATATATATATACATATATCTCACGCGGGGTGGATCTTGAGGTGGGATGTACACAAACCTGACGTCTACCTCAAAGAGTAGAGCGGTTGTTTCCATGAAGAACCCCGACTGTTTCCATTTTCAATGATATTTTCACCAATTTTTTGTCTTCATAATCAAAATTTATGATCTTTTTTATGTAGTGGTGTTATTTGAAATTCTTTTAGGTATTGGTAGGGGTGAAGTTCCTGCCAAAATGGCCGTTTCTTGGACGTGTGAGGTTGTGTTTTGTGGAACCACCTTACTTTCAGATGACAGTCAAACCAATGTTTGCTCATGGTCTTGATGTTACTGAAGTTCCCGGGATTGCTGGATGGCTGGATAAGCTTCTGACTGTTGCATTTGAGGAGACGCTGGTTGAGGTAACAATCTTCCGTTTTCTTTCTATTCCTTGACGAAATAGTTTCTGATTACTGATTTACATGTTTTTCTTTCAGCCTAATATGTTGGTGGTGGATGTTGAAAAATTTATTTCACCAGAAGCAGGTATAGTGAGTTTAGGTCCTCTTGTTTCTCACTTAAGGGTCTGTTTGTTAGCAGCTTAATGGGACTCAGCTTATTCAGTCAGCTATGTGGCTTAATGATATAGAAAGCGGCTTATTCAGTAAACTTCTAGGGGGGTGCTTCATGCAAAAAGCCAAACTTTTTCCTACCATGCCCCTCCCAATTCAGAAAACTCGTTCCTTCCATCTATGAAAAAACCCTCCTAAACAAAAACCTTCCCAATTTATATAGACAGGTTAATCCATACGGACAACTTTATATATACGGGATTTAATGGAAAACCAACCAAACAACCCCTTAATCTTTTTGAGTCATTGATTACTGAGAAATAAGGGTCAACTCAACTGGCGAATAAAGGCTAGGCCTTACTGGTCGCCTATTCGAGTCTCCTCGGGCCATTGGGGTGTTCTTGACCCTTAATTTTAGGGTCCATAGGATTAGTCGAGGTGTGTGCAAGCTGATTTGGACACCCATGGTTGCCAAAAATAAAAGAAATTGATGTGAAATTGGTCCATTGTCGCATTTTATAGCAGGGTTTGAACTTTGAACCTAATTTCTCGTGTTATATTTTAGAAACATGGTTCTCCGTTGATGCGAAGGATCCCGTTGCTTACACCTTAGTGGAAGTTGTGGAAGGAACGGATATGAAACCGTCAGATATGAACGGTAAGTTCACTTGAAAAGTTCGGGATTCTTTGGTGCATTTGCGAAACGGTTTCGTTAACATGACGGCTAACTTGATCTCTTTTTAGGGTTGGCGGATCCTTACGTAAAAGGTCAGATTGGTGCGTACAGGTTCAGGACCAAGATTAAAAGGAAGACGCTCACTCCAAAATGGCTCGAGGAGTTCAAGATTCCTATTACTTCATGGGATTCACCTAATATTCTCGACATTGAAGTTCGTGACAAAGATCACTTCATTGATGACACCCTAGGGTTCGTTCTATTTCCTATATCGTGATCGTTAACTCATAATTGATACAGGAAAACAAACCAAACAAGCCCAATATATCCCACCCTGGTGTGGGGTTATTTGTGAGTTCATGTATTAATAGAATGCACCCTTTTATGCAGCAATTGTTGTATAAAGATTAATGATTTTAGAGATGGTGAGAGACATGACATATGGTTGCCTCTTCGGAACATTAAAATGGGAAGATTGCATCTTGCCGTAAGAGTTATTGAACTCGAAGGAAAGGTATGTTTGGTTTCTCATTCTTCAGGGGTGAGTTTGGTACGCGGGACAAGATGATGGAAGTTCCGTTAGGAACCCAAAATTGATTAGGAACACAGGAACCGTCCCGACTGCCCCACATGTCCCTCTTCTGGATGAATATTCATCATGAATAACACATTTATGATGAGTATGTTACAACATTCACGATTGAACATGTTACAACATTCATGATAAATAACACATCCATTCCTGTGTAATGCTGTGAGCAGTTCCCGGTTCCGTGCCTTAGGACAAGACAGAACAAAGATATGTTGTCCAACATTTGGTGCGACATTAGACTCACAGAGGACAGGACTGAGTACTTTTTTGTCCCATCAAAGTAGGTGGAAAAAGATTAGGGAGATGGGATGATATTGGTAAATTACTAAACTACCCATAACTAATTAATACCCTAAAACCTCCAAACCCGTCTGCCTACCAAACACTCTCTCAGTACTGGTTCGGATACTAGAAAACACTAATATTTTTGTTTTATTTGTTCGGTATTGTTTTACTACGTTCACTGAAATGGTAGGTTCCTTACAGGTAATTGAACAACCATGTGATGAGGATGCATTGAAGAGCGAAGACGAGAAAAATTCTTTTGCAGTCGAGAAAGGAGAAGGGACCGGTAAATTGCCTGAAAAATCTAAACAAGTGATGGCGGATGATTATGAACCGATCGACGTTGAAGGGCAAAGAGAGACCGCGATATGGGTTCAGCGGCCAGGAGATGAAGTAGCACAAGTATGGGAGCAAAGAAAGGGGAAGAATCGGGTCCGTAAAGATGGCGAATCACTGAATAGTAGCATCAGGTCTGAATCATATCCGAACGACTCCAGCAGCACTGATGAAAGCCTGGAGGGGAACAAAACGAAATCAAGAAACCCGGTTAAGAGGGGGTTCCGTAAGATTGGTTCACTGTTTCATAGAAGCCCGAAAGCAGCAGAAGATGATAAATCAAGAACCGTAAATGAAGATTGCGATTCTCCACGTCAAAATGTTAGGGCAGTTAATGCAAAGGGGATTGGGGTGAAGTTGGTAATGCCAACGGACCCTGATCAGGATTCTGGAGTCGGACTCGAAGAGAGCCCGGAGGGAAGTGATCAAGAAAGCCCGGAAAAGAGGAAAGTCAAAGATAAAGTCAAAGGTATTCTGAAGCATACCGGGAATTCTGCTCGTGGGATGATACATGCACTTTCTCGAAAAGGGTCTGATAAAGAAAAGAACGTAGATTCACCGGTGCAGTCGGATTATTCCGGCGCAGGATCCTCTCCGTCACCCGAGTTCAGACCTAAAGGTTTAGTGATTCCAGATGTTTCTGATACTAGGCGAATTAACAGTTCGTCGAAATCCGAGGATGAACCTGATCAGAATGATGCAAGTAAAACTGCCACTAGTCCTTTCAGCCAAACTGGTGAAGTTAAAGAAGAAGATGATCCAAATAAGATTACAATGGATGCTGTGGATGTAAACGCAACAGACACGTGTGACCCTGGAACGATGATCCAAGGAACGGCCGACCCTGGAGCGGTGATCCAAGGAACGGCCGACCCTGGGGCGATGATCCAAGGAACGCCCGATCCTGGAACGATGATCCAAGGAACTCCCGATTCCGGAACGATGACCCATGAAACACCTTTAGAGTTCACCGGGGACCAAGTAACATCTTCTCCTTCACTTAAATAATGCAGATGATGGTTGTGTGTGTAGCCTGTATATCCTGCAAATAGTAGTTCACCATTTGTTGAGGGTGAATGTGTGTGGAGTTGTATATCGATATACTTTGTTTTGCTTGGATAGATATATACACTATATGTATGTAAATGGCAAGAATTTTGTTGATAAAAATCCCTGCTTTGAATCTTTTTTAGCTTTTCACTTTCGAATTAGATAGATTGTGGTTGAAACAAGGGTAAAAAGCACATAGATCAGGCTTACAACTCCATTCAGGCAATTCATCAAACACATGGTGTGCAACATCAAATACTCGGTTCTCTTTGATCTTTTCAAGATTGATTCTTTAAATGACTTCTTCAATGATCTCAAGAGTTCATTTGCTACACAAAGATTATGTATTATCATTGATATGTAAAGAGCTTCATAGGATTTCCCTGATTTCCTTATTACTTGCAAGTCGATAAACCTAAAAAAATGGCTGTTATGTGCACTACTCTATGATCTTATACGTAACGTGATATATATAATGTACACAGAATTTCGAAAGCTATATGTGTTTCTTTTTCGCTTTGAGAATTGGTTGAATCTGCAGTCTCCTACTAAAAGCTCTGTTGAAAAGAATTTGAGTCTGAAAAGCCGAAATGCTCGGAAGCCATGCCAAACAAGCTATCGGAGTGAAAAGAATAATCCCCATCCCGAAATCATAAGCTTGGGCGAAAACCCGTGTGAATTTCCACAGAACTGTACCTTGAATTAATGGCCTGAACGCTTGAGCAACCTAGAAATCGAAGAAAGATGGTTACTTTGGATTCAAGAAATCAAAAAGCACAAGCTTTTCCGCCATCTTTTCACAGATTCTAGAGAGCTTTTCGCTTACCAGTATCAGACCCCAGCCGGTGGGGAGAAACGCAAGACAACAAACGATCAAATCCGACACAGATAGTTGACAGATGTAAGAAAGAGCGATTATGGTTGCGATAACTGATAGAAAAAGCGAAGCTTTGAATAGCCTGAAAGAAAGCTGATGGTTATCACTCAGATACTGCCTGCCGAGATTTACGACCTGCGTAAAGATGTTCGATCCTTAGAAATCTGCAAGTATTTTGAGAACCATGAATACCATTCATATATGAATGTTAAAAGAGGAGTTTTACCTTGACTAACAGGAAAATGACGACGATTACGACCCATGAAAGGACATAAACGACAACGGTTTTGTTCGAGCCAGCTATATCGAGATGATATACTAGACCATATTGGTAAATGAAGAATCGCAATGAAAGAAGAATCTCGATGATCCGAGAACCCCATCCCGAATACCGCAGGTGGTCTTGTTCGTCATACCACCACGACTGCCAGCTTTTATCTTGTTGAATCCCGATCCCACCCTGCTGTTTAATCCATTTGTTCCAGTCTTTCCAATCATCGACTATCTTCCCCCAATCGAAACCGGAAGGATTAAACAGAAATGGGGCAAACAACCAGGTTAACGATAAGAACCAGATGGCAGACGTAATCATCACGTACATCATGTGGTTTCGGTAGGATCGTCTGATGATATCATGAACAATCAGAAGTAGTAGCAGCTCAAACCCTTTCATGAAATGGCTCCGTGAGTACAATCTATAGTTCTCCGTGAAACTGGCGTGGAAGACCACGACTTTTCTTCCCGTGGGTCGGTACTTGGCACCGCCGTGAAGTATGGTTCGGCCAAAATAGTGGGTTTTTGTGCCGAGCGAAAATGTGAAGAAAACAGCCGCTAATTGCAGCTGCATAAGAACGAAATCTTTAAGGGCACTAAGTAATCCTTTCTCGAGTGCAATTTCCATCACCATCGGTAAGCCCGTCAACAATCCAAGTTGAATAAACGATTGCGATGCTAGTGCCGTCTCCAACGACCGAATGTTATGCACTTTAGCCTCGAGAAGTAACGCTTTTTCTAAACCGCTTAGCACGAGATAGAGCTGCCCGTATAGAAACACGTAAATCCCAATCACCGATATCTGCCGGATTCGCAAAAGGATTCAACATTTAGAGAGATGGTAACAAACAAACGGCAATTAATTTGTTTGTATGGATTGATAGGTTTTTTGTTTGGGAGTTGCTAGAAGTAACACATTTTTTTATTATGAGGGGCAGGTTTGGAAAAACTTGGCTTCTACATAAAACTCTCTCTAGAAGCTTACATAATAAGCCACTTTCTATATCATTAAGCTACTACCAAACAGTCATGTATAGCTGATTGAATAAGCTGTCAATCCCATTAAGCTCGTTAAGCTGTTAAGAAACATGTATGTTCTGTAGTAGCTTAATGATATAGAAAATGACTTATTTGGTAAGCTTTTAGGAGGGAGCTTTACGTAGAAAGTCAAGTTTTTTCCAAACTACCCCACCCAATTAAAGAACACGCTCCTTCTGTTTATTAAAAAATCCTCTTAAACAAAAATCTTCCGGATCTATACAGATTAATCGAAACAGATAACTTTATCCATACAAGACTTAATGAAAAACCAACCAACCAAACAGCCCCTAAGTTTTTATGGGAGTAGATCAGATAAAGGTTCTTGAGCTTAATTTACTTTAAAAGGTCATGCTTCTAACTGAAAACAAATTTAAGGTCATTTATCCAAAGAACCGAACAAATTACCAAGCTGCTGAAGTAGAAACCGACTGTTGTGAAGTAACAAGAAAGCATGCGGAAGAAGTCGAACCGACGTCCGAGCCGGTAGATATCGCGGCTAAGAGTTTGTTCGCTGTTTCCGTTTGCTACTTTCGCTTCAAATTTCGAGATCTGATTTAGGCTCACATCACGACCTTTACCGACCTGTATGTACTCGTGGTACGTAATATGTCCACGCCGTAATGTCGTATTATATCCTATAAAATATATATATAGTTAAATAAGTTAAAAGAAAGTAATTATCAGGTTTTAAATAGAAGTAATTTTTGTACCTGCAAAAATGTCTTCACTCAAGTTGATTGTCTTTGAAGCTTTGCTTATGCCACCTCTTGTTAGATGAAACACTCTGTCAAAAAGATCTGGATGTCCATAATGGAACCTTATCCTGTCACAAGTTTTTTAGGACATTTTAAAAATAAAGTTTCAGAAAGTATGACGTATTTGGTCATCATAACAAGTTTTTTAAGACACTTTCGATAAAGTGTCATATTAGCTGTTTGAGTAAACTACGTTTTTCATACCTTTGATTTTTTGAAAATTTCTTTTTTCGTCCTTGTGTTTTTAAAATTACAGTTTCGTCCCTGTGGTTTATAATTAATTGTTGTTTTCATCCATGTGGTTTACAAATCATTGTTGTTTAAGTCCCTAAAAAGTGTACAGATTAGCTCAGTGATGAAAACAACAATGAATCGCAAACCATAGGGACTAAAACAGTAAATATAAAAGCACAGGGACTCAAGTTGCAATTTTTAACAAACCAAAAGGATAAAAAGGTATAGTTTTCTCTAGCTTTTTTACATGACACTTTTGAGAAGTGCCATATGAACGGACATTTATTTCTATAAGACACTTTTTCAAATAGAATGTTTTATTTAAAAAGTGTGTTAGAAAACTTGTTAGTACATCCAAAAGCATCCTATCAACTTATTATAACACTTTTATATCGGGTGCACAACTATTTGGTGTTATTAAATTAAGTCCTATAAAGCAGTCTATTTGGACATTTAGGCATATTTGACATCCTATAACAAGAAACCGGTACCTAAGAGGATTCGCTAGAAGCCTTTGACCGATTGTGACGAAACTAGTCTCCTGGTAAGACATGAACCATGCTAAAGAAGAAACACTGCAAGAAAGAAAGACAATACAAGGCTTAGAACATGAGTAGCTTTCAAGATCAATAAGAAATTCATCTTTGTCAACAAAAGATTCAACCTTTGACTTTAGAAAGTCAAACCCGGTGACGAAAACTCAAGAATCATATATAACATTTTTATCAAACGAACCTTCCGGTGAATATGTGTTCTCTTAAACCGAGGATTTTAGGACGTTTTCCCGATCTTGGCAGAAATTCTTGAAGGAGATTTCTCATTTTGATCGCTTCTTCTAGATAGTTATCCTGTATACTTTTGCGTATCAGTTGACTATCACATGTTTATATATATGATATATAACTGTTTGGTCCTATAAAGCAATCTATTAGGACATTTGGACATCTTTGGCGTCATATATCACAGTCTATTAGGACATTAGACATCTTTGGCATCATATGTAGTTTATACATCTTTGGCATCATATGTAGCAGTCTATTAGGACATTTAGACATCTTTGGCATCATATGTAG